GCATGACGTCCGATTTTTCTGAGAGGACGTCATTAGTTCTCGAGAGCACTTTGTTCATTCTTAAGGCCGTCGCACCACTTCGGGTCCTTCTAACCTCTTTCCAGAAGAGTTTGGAGTTCTCCTTAAAGTTGTACGACAACCTTTCGTCCGCTTCCATTCTACACCTTTCACGCACTTCCTCAATCAATGCTTTCGTGTGAACTTTCTGCAGCCTATATCTTTCTTTCATCTTCTCTCTCATATCCTTATCATTACTAGAGGCCAAGTAGTCTAACCATGCTTTCTTCTTCTTCTTTACAGCTTCTTTCACTTCATCATTCCACCATGCATCTCTTCTTTTACTACTGCCTCTTTTTATTGTTCCACACACTTCTTCCGCTGCACTTACCATTCCATCCCTAAGGTTCGGCCATGTTCTTTCTACACATTCGTTTCTGCTATCGATGGTGTCAAACTTTTCGGCTACCCTCGCATGATATTTGTCCCTAGTATCCGCTTCCTGAAGCTTCCAGCTTCGGATGCGACAGACCGACTGTGGTTCTGTCACTGACGTCCGGTAGCGCCAACCCGCGAACAGACCCCTAAATCTAGTAATCACTAGATAGTGATCCGTTCCCAGGTCAGCACCCCTGAACACTCGCGTATCCATAACCTGTTTTCGCAGTCGGTCATCCACCAGGAACAAATCGATCATACTTCTTCATTCTTTCTTTCTCTAGTATACATATGGATTTTCTTGTGATTAAACATAGTGTTTGTCACAAGAATACCCTTTTCCTTGCATACCGCCAGTATAAGCTTGCCAGCATCATTAACCCTTTTATCGCCAAACTTTCCAAGTACCGACTCTATCCCTTGTCGAGCGGTACCAACCCATCCATTCAAATCACCACATACAACAATTCTTTCGTTTCTCCTAGCCAAATCTAGAACTTCTCTTACATTCTCCCAAAACTCCTCCAGCTCAGCCCTGGACGACGAAGCTACCGGCGCATAAACAGCCATAAGGAATTACTTCGTCAGTCCTAATTTAAAGCGAACCCAGAGAAGTCTTGAGTTCACAAACTTATATATTATGTCATAACATCGACCAACCGAAAAGACAGCAACACCCCCACTCCCTGGCAGGCGTTCTCGCTCTCCGGGACTCCGGACCATAGAGCAAACGCCCCGCCAGGGAGTTCTTCAGTACCACTGCCCTTCCGTTTGGTCTCCGACATACACACGACATCTAATTCTCTTTCTTTCATTATTTCGATCAACTCATTCGTCTTATCTCTCATGCCTCCTCTAACATTCCACGTGCCAACTCTGCACTCTGTCCTCCACCTTCCGCCGTGTCGGGCTGTGCGTGAAGGGTGGCGGTCCCCATCGCCGCTTTGCGCGCTGCATTCCACACCAACGGGGCGAGCTGGTGTGCGTCGCCTTGGGGGGACGCCCTAACCCTCGTTGGCATGGGTGCGCAGATGTGTAGAATTGCAGCCCTGAAAAGGGCTGGCAGGGGTCGCAACGAGCACGCTTCTACAATGACCCCCTATACAACCGATTTCAATATAAATTATTAAGAATTACTCAAAACTATTGGTCAGACCTTTATTAAATTTATATGGAACCACATGTGAAGCACCAGCTTTCAAATAAAAAAGAATCATCGAAATCGGTTCACCCAGTAAAAGGTTATGAGGTAACACATATTAAAAAAACATATAGTCGAATTGAGTACCGCCTCCTTTTTGAAATCGGTAGAAAAAGGAAATCTTCTGCTTGGCAAGGTTTTTTTTTATAGGATAAGGGTGACAAACGAGCACACAGTCCACCTGATGGTAAGTGGTTGCTGCGGCCCATAGACATCTACATCTATCCTCTGTTACAAATCAAAATGTTGATGCGTTGTCACCCGTGAGAACTAAGATGGAATGCCCCATTTCCAGTAAAAAGGGCCTCCGGCCACCTGCACTCACCAAGCGAAACGCAGAGGTAAACCTCTACTTCACGCTGGTTTTCTGTGAGGTCGTGGTACTACCCCGGTTCGAGCCGGCCCATCCGAGCGACAGCAAAAGCTGCCGCGTGACTCTACCACTGCTTGGCCGGAGAAGCGGGCAACGCTCCATATGATACTACAGAGCTATTATACATGTAGGCGCGTCTATAAAATTGCGGTTGGATCGAGAGTGAGCGAGAGGTTGCGTCACTCTAACAGAGCGTCATATCGATGGTAGCGGGGTAGAATTGAGAGTAGATCGGGAAACCCCCACTTGTTTGTACAGTATGAAGTTCAGTGTAGATGCCAAACGCGAGAAATTCCGTCTAACTATTCTACGTAGTACTAGTGCTAAGATAATATCGTATTTCTGTACGTTGTGGTGGTACTTCTGGTGCAAGCAAGGAGGATGTTGTTGCTAAGAGGTTGCTAAGAGGTTGCTGTTGGCTTGCATACTTTGATGGTATCATGTAATTATGTATTATCACACTTTTAATATTATTATCACTGAACTTCTGATGTATTCCCGATGTTTCCGACATCAGAAGTGAGATGTTGTCACGAAGTTCCGACATATGTATACCGGTGTATTTCGAAACCTTAATAGCATAATTTAGGCTTCAATCCTTATCGCTTGTGGCGCGACGACAGCGCCGCCACAATTGCATTTATTTTATATGCATGACCATTTGGGCAAATGCGTTCAATTACATAGCAGCCATGGATTCAGATTCCGAATCCCAGCAAAAGCCAACATTTTATACGCCCAGTATATTAAATTTAAAAACCATAAATAAAGTAAATTATCATAATCAAAATAATTCTTAGTACAACCTTTTACAAGTTCAATGCTGTTCAAAGCGCTCGCCCAAGGAATGTCACAAAACACGGTCCTGAGCCACCTGCATCCATTAAATTCCTGTATTATATATGTTTTACTATATCTTCACACCATCTTATGTGTTGCCCTACATTCGCTCACTAATACGAGATTACCACTAGAGTACCTTTTTTTCTTATCGGTTGTCTGGTGGTGGGGGACTCCTGTTCTGCCTTGGAGACTGTCTGAGTAGTTTCCTTTCTCTTTACAGTTCCGGTCTGAAGAGTATAGGGAGCCTTTATAATTTTTGCTTATGAGGCATTCCATTTTAGTTCTCAGGGTTGATAACGCATCTGTAGCCGTCTTTATTTGACGTTGGTAGCATACATCAGGACATGTGAAGTTCGCCATTACTCACTGAAGCAGGGAGCGGAATAACTGCTCCATAACTCTCTCAGAAGTTATCAAAGATGTGTGCCCAGCAATAGGACGTACAAAGGTAACATTTCAGTATATTACATAATGCTGCTGTGTTCCGTATTGTAGAGAACGTTTTACTGGCAACGAGGCATTCCATTTAATTCTTAAAGTTGACAATACATTTGCTTTTCATTCATAGTCAAGGATGAATTAAGATATCTATTATATTTTAGCTGTCATTAGAAGATTGCCTATTCCTTATTTGTTGACCATTGTCGCATTTCTTAGGATACCCACGGGATGATATTGGGTTGTAGACTTTTAGATATTTTAATACCGCCACTACACGTTGTTACCCTAATTTTATATAATAATTAAAAATTAAAATTTTATGCAAATTATTACAACAATAGGAATAAAGTAACTAAATTTCATTATTTTATAAAAGTGTATTTAATTGTTGATCACATCTGGCATACCACCGTTTATAGCACGGCTTATTATTGGCTTAGCGTAGTTAACACAACGTGTTTACATCGAAACAGACCATTTGTGTCCACTGCTATATGCGACACATCTAACGGCAATATAAATCATTCAAAACAACACATTAGGTAAAATATGTTTAGTATTCAAAATATATTATGTGAATGGTAAAATTATTCATAGCCTCGTGAAGTAGTTACATTAAAGCAGGTGCATGCAGTAAGGTCTGTACTTTTACCAATAAAAATAACTAATAAGTGTTAAAAGTATAGACCTTATGGTGCGAATTGAGGAACTCATTGTGTCAAATATTTAGCATTAGTTACTTCCATATAAGTCATGTATGTAAATAAAAAAAAATATGTTGATATGTAAGATGTTTTATATCATCGTCATTAGGTAAAAATAAAATTCCACCAAAACATCACAGTCCCAAGTGTAGGCTGCCTGAATTTAAAATTAACTTTACAAAATTCATTTCGAAGGTCAAGAAAGCTAACTATACTAAACAAAATAGCTCGAAAAATAGGAGAAACTGTAAAACGAAGCACAAGAAACTGTTTTCTCTTGGTTTTTATTTCATTATTTTTACAAAACTCTATACTCAACAAAGATGCATAGTGAGTTCTGAAAACAAAGATCAAAATTCTAAAAGCCTGTAATAAGTTTTATTTGATATTTGACATTATACTCTAAAGTATTTCTTTTTTGGATAAGATGATTTTATCAAGACCAAGATCTTATTAAACTGGAAGTATTCTTTTCAATTGCATCAATATCCGCAACAAATATGTACACAAGTACGTCGATATAGAGGACACACGCTCTAGCTATTTTATGGCTCCAGTACGAATTCTTCGACTTGACCGTGGAAGGACCATGCCCTCACAGAATGTCAGCGTGCAACAACAGCAGCTAAAGCTGCTGTTTGTATGGTAAGTGTAGAGAATTGGAGACAATTTTTACTGAAAACTTAGTCCTCAGAGAAGATATATATATATATATATATACCGGCACAATTAGCGGAACACAAAAAAAGCAGTATTTTAAAATCTTTTACTTGAGGAACTGGCCAGTTATGATATTTTTTTAATTTATTGTCAAATTTGAAAATAGAAAATTAGATTACATATACTTTTTTCATTCATTTCTTTTATTTTCCCGAACAATACGTTTTGTCAACTTGTTCGAGTAATAACTACGTAATTGTAATTTTTTTGAAAAATTGCACTTAATGGTTTTTTATAAATTTGTTATTCTATAGGCAATTTTGTTTATTAAAAGCTCTTTATTATGCCTGATTTAACATCACTGGAAATCATTAGGGCTGATGAAATGAGAAGAAATGGCCATACCTACAGATCGATTGCCTCAAGGCTTCGTCGACCAGTATCAACGATTCATCGCAGCATCCAGCGGTACAGATCGTCTAATTCTCTTGTGAGGAGGAGGGGTCAAGGTAGAAAAAGATGTACATCGAGGCGAGATGACAGTTTTTTACAACTTGGAGTTCGTAGGAATACGCGATTAACGGCTGTACAAGCTCGAAATGAACTGGAAGACGTTCGAGGAGTACGAGTAAGTGAGCGTACAGTTCGCAGGAGATTTGAAGAAGTTGGTTTAGGGTCGTATATACCTGCCAAAGGCCCAAAACTTGAGAGACGTCACCGCGTAAACCGATTAAGCTATGCGCGAGAACATCGTCATTAGGATTTGAACGAATGGCAGCAGGTTCTCTTTACTGATGAGTGCAGAGTTCTTTTAAAACAGATTGATGGGAGACAGCGAATATGGAGACGCAAAGGAGAACGCCACATACAGTCTAATTTTGAACACACAGTGGCTTATGGTTTGGGGAGGGATATGTTTGGGAGCTCTCACGGAGTTAGTGATAGTCACAGGAGGAACCATGACAGCAGATCGATACATCAGAGACATTTTAGAAGAACATGTTGTACCATTTGCCCCATTTATTGGTGACGACTTTATTCTAATGCAAGATAATGCTCGTGCTCATAGTGCACAATCGGTACAGGCATATCTGAGCCACGTAGGTATACCGGTGATGCAGTGGCCAGCAAATTCCCCCGATATGAATCCGATAGAGCATGTCTGGGACTTGCTAAAAAGAAGAGTTAAATCCAGAATGCCACCCCCCAACAATCTGAATGAACTTGAAAACGCATTACTTGAGGAGTGGGAGCGGTTGCCTCAAGAAATCATCGATAACATAATCTGTAGCATGCCCAGACGAATGGAAACCGTAATCAGAGCAAGAGGGGGAAACACTCGTTATTAATTTTGCTTTAATTTTATTGTTAAATCATTTAATGCTTACTTTTTTTATTTTTTGTGATGGTTCATAATCATCTAAAAATTTCACTTATTTCAAATTTCTTTATTTTTCAATAAAAAATAACGAAGACTTTTCAAAGTCGTTGTTAAAATATGTTAATCAATTTGTTATTTTGTGTCTAATTACATTTTCGTCAAATATATGCGTTATTATCTCATAGTCTCACTTTTTTTTCTGTTCCGCTAATTGTGCCGGTGTGCATATATATGGTATTCTGTGAAAGCATTGTCCCACCCCGGTCGACCTGACCTTTGCGTGCTACACCTATAATAAAGCTCCACAAATAGTTTTAGATATTTAATCTTTTAATTCTTAAGCGTTTTTTATTCATTTCGATTAAATATAATAAAATGAAATCTTACATTAAAAACTCTTTTTCTGAATATATTGCTTTTGAAATCGTTGTTCTATTTAAACATTTCTACTCGAGTGGTTGATCACTTTTGGCTGGGATCCATGCTATAGTCAGTTTGGCACTACAAAAACAATACTAACTCAGTTGGACAATTTAACGACTTACAAGTCTTTCTTAATATTTTTAGTGCATTTATTTAAACGCTAAAAATTTGAGTTTATGGATAAATGTTCATCTGGTATTCGAATCCAGTTCACACAGCAGCAAGACTCAGAATAGAATGTAAATAATCACTTTTGGTGTTGGTTGAAAAGGAAACATTACTCCTTGTATATAGCACTCCTTTTCCTTTTCTCCATGGAATCCGTCTGAGTAGCTTCCTCCATCTTACCAAACGGCAGGACCTCTAATGCTTTGTTCATACAGCCAGTATATTACAGGCTACGAGGCATTCTTAATCATCAGAGGTGGCAATCATCGTCCTTCTTAGTATGAAGTTGGTTGTTATTGTCTAATCGCAGTAGCCACTTACCATGAGTTTGGCTGTACGTTCTTTTGTGAAATACATTCAATAAAAAACGGGAAAAATTTGTTTTTTTACAGAAAAATGTAAACAAACCAGCACACCGACTACCTAATGGTACGTGGATTCTGTGGCACATAGACATTTTTATCTATCTTAGATTAAGAAACAAACTGTAGATACCTTATCACCCTTGAGACTAAGATGAAATGCCTCATTTCCAGTAAAAATGTTTTCAGTTCCCTACACTACACTCTCTATACGAAACAAAGCAGCATTGAGCTGCTAGTTCATGCTGCTATTATGTAAGAGTATGATCCGTCGCCGGTGCGTGATCCCAGCAGTGGACTTTTACGAGCAATTGAAGAAGATATTGACAGTGTAGTGACGGTGTAAGGATATTTACTACCCCATATCGTCCCGTGGGTGTTGAAAGACGCAACAGAGGGAAGCGTGAAGGGGCCCGCAACGGCCGACGCCTGCCGGGGCTGCGGGCTGTTCGAAAATGATACTGCGGCTCCGGAACGTAAGGGCACTGAAGGAACACGGATGGTTTTTAGTCAGTAAAAGTCTGACACTCCCTTCCGCTCCACCCAGAGCGAAAGGCGTCATTTGATGATTTTCCATCCGCAAAAAAAAAAGGGAAACAAAACAGATGTGCAACCGCGTCTTCCTAATAAAAACTAAAAAATAAAAGAACTGCGTCTGCCATCAATTGTAAGGTTTTTATAAATTAATCAAGGAGTTTTTATAATTTTAAAACGATTATGACAATATTAGTTAACAGATAGGATAAAAAGGCTGGAAAATGCACAGCGAAACTAGTGAGTCTTGAAGAAGCATTGGTAGGAGTTACTTGTATCGGAAAACATTATGAGTTTAGTATTAAAATGTTAACTAGTATTATTAAAATATTAACGAATAGGTTTATGTTTCAATCCTGCGTACCAAATTAGAGGAAAACCAAAAATATTAATCTGAAGTGGTAATGAACCGGTCATGTTACAAAGACAGGCCTAGCCAAGTTTAGGCGGGAGCTTGTGTAGAGCAGTATTGATGATGATAAATATGTTATATACTTTTAATCAACAATTCTTCTTCTTTATTATCACCTTAAAAGCCCACCAAAGAGCCTACTGGACTTGGTTTTGTCGATTTAAGTAGAATTAGCACTAATCTCAAACTGTCTTGGATTGTCAAACATGAGTACCACGTCCGGAATCTTAACGTCATCTTTTGGAAACCACAAGATTTCTCAGGTGATTACTTTCCGACACTCTCCGGATGAAATGGAGTGATATATTTACTTGATAGCAAGTGACTAGCCCATGGACAACTGAAACCAACTTCAAACAAAGAAGGCTACAAATGCGTTGTCACCTCTGAGGATTATGACTGAATGACTCAAAATCTGTAATTTTATTGAATCTCTGTCCTTTTGGCGGAACATAGCAGTGCAAGCAGTGATACTTGATTCTTTATTGCAGAAATAAGAAAGAGGATAGTACCTACTAGACATAAAAATGGACGTTACATTTAGTACATCTTAACCCGATGAAGTGTCAAAAATATTTAAATGCCGTTCATTAAGTCGGGGTGTAAACGAATAATAGCGACTCGATATAGCACTAAAATGTTCAATAACACTACAACAGAGCAATTATCAAAAGCAATTCATTCAGCGAAGTTAGTTATTTGCGATTCGCCATAAAATGAATCAATATTGTTGAAAAATTGTATATAATTGCTTTTGGGCACAATTTTATAATTTAATATATTATAGAATTTACTGTTACCGTTACAGTCTTTTAAATCCTATCCTGGACATGGGCCTCCCCCATAGATTGCTTCACAGGAGGGATATTTCTCATAGTTTCCACCTACTCCCAGCCGTTTACGTCGAACATTTTATATAAAAGGGGGAAACGAACATGCAGCTTACCTGGTGGCAAAGAACTTGGATTATTAACTAAGCATGGAAGGAAAAATTGCAGGTCGTTGCCGGTCTTTGGAAAACTAAACTTTAAAACTTAAAAGGTTGGCTCTTTTTTGGGTTTTTTGGCTTGTGATTTTTTGGTGCTTGTGTTGTTAATTAAATGCAATTGGTTTCTTTGCAGTTTAATTATTGACGTTATACTAGTGCACGTATTTTGATATAGCATTATTATTCACTTCTTCCTATTAAAGTCATTGACGTTTAAGTTTTAAAATTGTTGTGTTTAAAAGTTTCATAAGTAAATAATAATATATAATGATTATCCGCTACAAGAAAGTAGGTCGTTAATCTAGAATGTAAATAAAAATTGGCCAAGTATGAGCCCAGATAAACATTCATTGGAACATTTTCGATTAATTTTTGAGAATTTGTTATACCATCCTGACATTCCCTTTTATAATCTTCTTTTTCATCATCATTGCTTTTATGCAGGCTCCGTAATTTCTTTATAACAACTTTCTTCATACAGTTACTAGCTTTTCTGAAATACTTGTAACAATACTGTAACTTTAAGTAATACGCCTCTTGGATAGGATTTTTCAGAAGAGTGCAAGTAATAACTAAAGATTTTACTGGCTTCTGCTTCGTGATTTTCTAAAATGATTTAAAGCGTAATTTGTAGATTTTAAGCTCTACCTGTGCTTTTTCGTCTGACGTCACTTGCACTCTTAACTTATTTTCCAAAAAAAAAAAACGAGTGGTGCAGACATCTGTAGCTGGAAGCGAATATCTGATGTTGAAGTCGGATACAAATTTAAAACTCTTCTTAAAGTGTCCACGTGGTGACTGGATAGCGAGCAGTAATGGATCCTTATTTTGATATCTAGTAACAATAAAAAAAAAATATTATCTTGATATCTAGTAACAAATAGGCCGTTCTGTTTGGAAATTAGTTGAGATTCGTATTCAGCGTCCTGTTCGCAAGATTCTTAAATAATATATTAAAATATATATCTATCTCAGATATATATATATATATATATATATATATATATATATATATATATATATATATATTTCTGAGACCATGACGTCGTCCTTGCAATTACTTAACCGTTTATTTTCGTATGCTCAACGGATACGCAAATAAACATGTAAAGAGGAAGACTACGAACATACGTTACCTTAATATTTACGTACGTATGTAAATATTAGGGTAAGCAAAAATGTCTAGAACTATGCAGGCGATGCTTCAATTTAAGTTAATAAGAGGCGTTTTCAATTATCATCCCGTATGTCGAAAACGTAATTAAACTCGCTCCACGAGGATGCTGTTACGCCTACTCTTACAATAGTAGCAATGACGTACACATATTTATTGTTCACGTAACAATAATGTTCGTGACTCAATTCATATTACCATTTCCTATAAAGGTCACTTTACGCGATGTATACCCCCTTCCCCCTTCTTTATTGGTTGTTTACATTTACTGGATTCAAGATGCTAACTACCATCTGTCGGAGGGTAAGGAATATATCTGGATAATATATCTGTTCCCTTATTTGCTTCTAACGTAGCTCATGTAACGTAATGGAAAAATCTTGGTAGAGAGTAAAATGAGTGTACTTTTACAACGAGAGCTAATATTTTTACGCTCACCAGATTAATTAGCTAATTGGGACTACCTTACCTTAGAATTTATTCGTTACGCAGAAGGTCACACAGTGTCAACATTATTGAAAAGTTGCGTTTTGAATAAAAGATTTTCGGTTTCTACTGTATGTACATAATAACAATAATCATTATTTGCAAGAATATGGTTGTACAATGGTGTTTGAGTATAATTCTTCTACATATTCTACCTTAGTGGTGTGCAAATATTAATGGTCAAGTAACCTAAACAACAACACTTATCGAATTTAACAACATATATTAATTTAACAAAATATAAAATTATTTAATATTACATACACAGAATAATGCATTGTTCTTTAATTTTTACACATTTTCTACATTTAAATATATCCGTTGTATGGTTTATCCATTTCTAATCTAAGTAATATAAAATATTACTAATACTTCAGAAAAAGAA